CCCGCCGCCATCGCGCTCAGCGCGCTGCTCGCCGCCGACCTGTGGGCGTCGCGCCGCCTCGGCGTGTGCGCCGCCGAGGGCTCGCCGTGCGCCGCCGCGCGGCCGCTGCTCCGGCTCGTCGAGGTGTCCGGCCACGGGCTGCCCTGGCTGCTCGGCACCGCCTACGGGCTCTGGCGCAGCGGCAGCGCCGCCGCCCGCGAGGTGCTGCTCAACCTGCTCTTCGGTGAGCACCCCGCCACCCGCGCCGCTCCCGCCGCACGGGGCTAACGGGCCCGGCCCGGCCGCTGCTCGCCGGGAGGCCCCCGTGGCCTGCGCCGCGGGAAAGGAGGAAAAACATCCCGGTTAAACAGAAACATCCCTTGCCCTGCAGTGTTATCCAAGGAGGGCAAACGGCAGCCTCGTGCGGCAGGCCGGGCCGCCCGAGCGCCCTCCACGCGGGTTACCTTGTGGGTGCTCATCCTGCAGGGAGGCCGGGCCGGGGGAGCCCCTCGTTCCCCCGGGACGGGACAGGGAGCCCGTGGTCACCAGAGCCGGGCGGTCAGCGCGGGCTCATCGCTCACCACCGACGTGCGACCCCAGGCCGGACACGCCGAGCCCGTGCGGCTGACGGTGCCTGTTGAGGAGAGGAGCGTTGGCCCCTTTGGTGCCTTCAAACCAAGGCCCAAGCCACACGGAGAGGAGATTCCATAGAGAAAGAGGCTGAGGGTCCCGTCCCCATGCATGAGGGCTGCATGTGTCAGAGCACCTCTTTGTTGTCCCTCCCGTAGCCGCGCGTTTCCCTCTTGCCCCGACTCCTCGTTTCCCCCGCGGCCCAAAGCCTTCCTTCCTCACCGCTGTTCCCGTCTCCTAGCGCTGCTGCTGGACCTGGTGCTGGTGGCCGTGGTGAAAGGGCTCGTGAGGCGCCCGCGGCCCGCGCACAACAAGATGGACATGTTCGCCACCATCTCCGTGGACAAGTACTCCTTCCCGTCGGGCCACGCCACCAGGGCCGCCCTCGTGTGCCGCTTCGTCCTGCACCACTTGGTGCTGGCTGCGCCGCTGCGCGTGCTCGTGGTGCTCTGGGCTCTCGTCGTCAGCCTCTCCAGGGTCATGCTGGGCCGGCACAACGTGACGGACGTGCTCTTCGGGCTGCTGCTGGGCTACGCGCTCTACAGCGTGGTGCAGTACTGCTGGCTCTCGCCGCTCAGCGCGCCCGCGCTCTTCGCGCTCTGGAGCCACTGAGGGACGGGCCCGTCTTGCTCTACACACCACGTGCAGAGCGTGTGCCGGGGATCATCAGCCAACATCCTAGATCGTATCTATCCAGCCAAAACTATGACATTCGCGGTGCTGCACGGGGACGCTTGGCGCGGTCCTGCCCTGCCCGCGGGCTCCCGGGCAGAGGGCCCAGCCTCTTGGCTGCGCTGCCTGCTCCCCGGGGAAGAGCCCAGAGCCCCCCGTGGCAGCTCGCTGCCCACACTGTGACGCAGCTGCAGCTTGGCAGGCATTGCAGTGATTCGGTGGCTGCTCGCTGGCGCACGCGCTGTAAATACACCGGGCCGCGCTGCGGTGAGCATGCCCCGCACAGCCTGCTCTGCAACGCCATGGCCAGGCTTCTCGCTGCCTTCTGTCCTCTCGGCTTTGTAAAATTTCTGCCTTCCCGAGCAATTCACGTGTCTTCCTGTTGCTCTTTGGTTCAGCGCTTCAGCGAGGCTGCACCTCGGGCTGGAAGGATGCCGGCATCTGGCTCGCAGGGCCTCGCGGAAAGAGAGGTCCAGGGGTTTGCTCCAGGCCCCACAGAGGCAGCAGGCGACCGGAGAAGCAGCTCCCAGCAACAACCTGCTCATAAAGCCACTGCGCCTTCGCGCTCCTGGCTTCTCCATGGGCTTTTCTGTCTCCCAAGGGACAAAGAAAAAAGAAAAACAAAGTGGTCCAACAAAGCAATCTGTGTTTGTGTGTTAGCATGTGTCCCATGTACCACCAACCGTGTCCTGCAGCATGAGCCGCTTCCCGCCCGGCGGCACCGGGCCTTGCTGGTGCCTCCACGGAGAGCTGCCCGGCTGCACCAACAGCAGCTGCGGCCTCCTGCGCTCCAAGGCCATCGACCGCGCTTTCACTGTGACCGTGCGTGCTGCTGGCGCGGTTTTCTTCCTTAAATAAAGCAGAAAACGGATCTGGGTGTTGCCTCTCCTGCTGCTGAGAGCGGCTGCTTCTCTGTTTCGTGTTGGGGCCTGTCCCGCTGCGGGGACGCAGGACACAGTGACCCTGGGCTGGCTTTGCCACACCAAGGGTGCTGCCCACACTGCGCAGGTCCATCCCCGAGGGAAAGGTTGCTCCTCACTCTTCATCCCGGATAAAGCCCCAGCCTTGTTTGCTTCTCTGGGAAGGATCACACATCTCCCGATTCCTGCAGAGCTCCAGCCGAGGGCAAAGGGGGCTCTGGCAAGAGGCCTCTTGCGTTACTGGAGAGCGACATTGCCCGGGAGCAGCCAGGGCCCGACACCGAGTCCCCGGCAAGGCGAGCAGGGACGCGCAGGAGGTTGCGGCCAGGTCCACGCAGGAGTGCAGATGTTCAGCTAAGCTCACAATGACAAGCAGAACAGAGGCAGAAAAGCCACACACAGGTCAGGGTCGGAAGGGAGGCGGGCTCGGCGCCTGCCAGGCAGCCTCATGATGACAAAGCAGCGCTTGGGTCAGGCCAGGAAGCCGGCACACAGGTTGGGACACAGCAGCATACAGCTTGGGTGGAGCAGCTAGCCCCAGGGTGGGCTGAAATAAGCTCCTGAGTCCAGGAGCCAAGCCGGGTGGAGGTCCCAGGTGAGGCTCTTCAGGGCCATTAAGGCTATTAGTGCCCTAGGTGTCCTGATAAACAGCAGCTGTGACTGTGGTGATTGTCAGGTGTTTGTGCTGTAGTCTGGAGCTTACGCAAATTCCCAGCACCCCGTGGCTTGGCCTGCTCCCTTCGAGCATCTCTTGCGTGCGGAGAGCCCAGCAGCTCCTCGTGCTGGTTTGGGCTGTTCAGCGGGCGCCGGAGGGGAGCAGAGAGCCCAGCCTGTCCCACATACGGGCAGCGGCCACGTTGATGGTGCAGAGGGCAAAGTCCCGGGCTGCAGGCACTGCTGCGGCCTTCAGCGAGGGCTGAGGGGCACCGAGGGAATCTTCACAAATGTCCTCAAGCAGAAAGGTCCCAGAGCCAGTCCCTGTGGCAGGGCCTGCGGAGGCTGCCAAAGGCCAAAGCAGGAGGCAGGGGGACAGTCCTGGCCCTGCCTCCCCAATGACCCCTGTGCCCATCTCTGTGGTGAGGGTTGTGCCTCACTGGTGCGGCCGGCTCGGCCCCCAGCGACACCCGGGACACATGAACAGCCCCACAGCCTGAGGGAGCCAGGGCTTCCCTCCAGATGGAGCCTCTGCCTTGCAAAGACAGCAGCCGCCCTTACGTCCATGGTCGTCTGGGGTGGGAAAGCGTCTCCCCATGGGCAGGAGGAGCATGGCCTTCTCCAGGGACACCCCGTCCACAGCTCCAGCCACATGGTCCTCCTCACGCTGGGACCTCCTGGCCCCAGGACAGGATCTGTCTGGGAGCACAGCAGGGGCTATGGGGATGTCAGGGACACAGCAGGATCTATGGGGATGTCCCAGGCTGACAGGCCTGGCCCTCGTCTCCCCGGGGGCAGCGGGGAACGTGGGTGATGCAGAGCAGGGCGCCTGTGAGGCTGACAGCACCGTGTGCCCCCGGGTAGCGGCAGGGCTTAGCACAAACACGCCTGTGTTGATCCCGATAATCCAGGAGGTTGAAGGTGAAGGAAGCGCTCGACTTGGCAGCCCCGCTTTTCCCCTCGCGTGCCCGCAGAGCCGCGCGCCGGGCAGAACCGGCACCGCTGTCCCCCGCGCGCAGCAGAGCAGCGCACAAGGCAGCACGCAGCAGCTCGGGCTTTTGCGAAAGGCGGCGGAGGCGTCGCGCGGCGCTGGCCGCGCGCCAGGGAGCAGCCTCCCGCCCCGCGGGGAGGAGTGGCGCAGGGCAGGCCCCGCTCGCTCCCGAGCCCTAAAGCCAGGCCGAAGTCCGGCGCGGGGCGCGGGGTGACGTGCAGCACAGTGGCTGGGACAGCTCCTGCGGTGTCCACACCGGGCTGCAGGTCGGTGGGTGCAATGGGTGCGGGACGCGTTCCCGGCGGCTTCCTGCTCGCCCGGGGCCGCCCGGCGAGCGCAGCCGCTGCCTCCGCTGCGGCCTCAGCACACTCACCTCCTCCCCAAGATGGGTTGGGGTCAGCGACAACAGGCAGGGGGACAGGGGACCCTGCGGGCACTGGGGGGACCCGAGAGGCACCTTCCTCTGGGGAAGGGAGAGCAAACGGTGGGCGGAGGGCGGCGTGTGCCTATGGCACCACGGGGCCACCGGGGTGTTGGCACTGCGGCAAAGCGCTGCAGGGCGCAAGGGGCACTTGGCAGGGCACCGACCTGTGGGGAGGGACACGTGGGGCGGGTGCAGGGCTCGGGGCCCTGCTCCTTGGGGCTCCTGGGTGCTTCACCCACAGCCTGGCAGGGGCAGCTCCACGGAGCCTGAGCACTCGCTGGCTGGACAGCAAGGGCTTCACGGACCTTTGGCAGCTCCCGGCAGGTGCGACCCCTCTGGTGTTGAGGGCTAAAACCTTGCCCATTGGCAGGGCTTGCCTAGCCTTAGTCCTGGCTCCCAGAGCCCTTGTCTCAAGTGCAGAGGGCTGAGTTGCTCCCAGGTGTGTTTTTGGCCCACAGCAGCCAGCGAGAACGCGCGGCAGACGCACGGTGAGGCCGGTGGTGCTCTCCTCTCCGACTGCCAGGGACAGCATGGCAAAAAGGGTGGCGATCATCGGGGCGGGGAGCAGCGGGCTGTGCGCCATCAAGGCCTGCCTGGACGAGGGGCTGGAGCCCGTCTGCTTCGAGAGGAGCGGGGACATCGGAGGCCTGTGGCGCTTTGAGGTAACGCGCGCCGGCTGCCAGGCTCAGGAGGAGCCCACGCTGCAAAGCCCCAGGTCCTGGAGACCAGGCAGCCCAGAGACTTCCCCGGCTCCCTGGGGAGCATCCCGAGACCTGTAATCCCTCCCTTTGATGGTCCCCCCGCCGCAGCCCTCGCTGCCGTGCCCCATACAAGCGCCGCCCCCGTCCCGCAGGAGCAGCCCGAGCAGGGCCGCGCCAGCATCTACAAGTCGGTCATCATCAACACCTCCAAGGAGATGATGTGCTTCAGCGACTTCCCCATCCCCGACGACTTCCCCAACTACATGCACCACTCCAAGATCATGGAGTACTTCCGCATGTACGCCCGGCACTTCCAGCTGCTCCCGCACATCCGCCTCAGGGTGAGGGCCGCGCGGGGCCGCGCGCCGCCCCGGTCCCGGCGGGGCCGCACGCCGCCTCACGCCTCACCCCCGCGCCCAGACCAGCGTGCGCCGCGTGGCCAAGCGCCCCGACTTCGCCCGCAGCGGCCAGTGGCTCGTGGAGACGGAGCGCGGCGGCGAGCGGGAGGCGGCCACCTTCGACGCCGTGCTCGTGTGCACCGGCCACCACACGGACGCGCACCTGCCGCTGCGCAGCTTCCCCGGTGCGCCCCTTGCCAAGCCCCACGCTTCTCCCCGTGCGGGGCCCGTCCAGGGCCGCCCCGGGAGGAGAAGCAGCCCCCCCGCTCTCCGCCCGCAGGCATTGAGAAGTTCCAGGGGAGCTACCTCCACAGCCGCGACTACAAGGACCCCCAGGCTTTCACGGACAAGAGGGTCATTGTCATCGGCATCGGGAATTCGGGGTCGGACCTGGCTGTGGAGATCAGCCAAACGGCCAAGCAGGTGACAACCTGAGTGGGCTCCGCACAGGCGGGCAGCCCCCCAGGTCTGTAAGACTGTCACCCTCCACAGGACACCCACAAGCTTGGGGAAGGGCTCTCCAGGGCTCTGCGATGGAGCACTCTGGTCCCTGGGTCCCTGCCCAGCACCCCGGCAGGCAGCCCTGGAGACTCCTCCCTGGGGAGGAGCAATTGGATGGAGAGGCCACGTCTCCATTGGGGCAGCCCTTGCTGAGCCCCCATGATGGTCACAGCATTAAAGACATAACGTTTGCTCACTCACCCAGGTCTTCCTCAGCACCCGTCGCGGTGCGTGGATCCTCAACCGCGTGGGAGACCAGGGGCTCCCCATGGACGTCGTCTTCACCACCCGCATGAACAAAATCATCTCCAGCCTGATGTCCATGTCCATGATATGCAACTGGTCAGAGAAGCAGCTGAACGCAAGATTCAACCACTCGCACTACGGTCTGAAGCCAAAGCACAGGTGCCCACACACACACACTTCCCTTGGCCAGGAGAAGAGCCCACCCTGGTTCCCTCTTCCCGCAGATCCATTTGGGTGCAGGGACAGTGTCCCAGCCACCTCACTGCTCCCTATACCCAGCCCAGAGTCAAGGTACTGGCCTGGGAAACCCGGCTGGTAGCTCTGCTCTATCCAGCGGTCGAGGGAGCCGCTTCTGCCTCTGTCCGTGGTGCCACCGTGGCAGGGGCAGCCGATGAACATCAGTGGGGCCAAGCACCCACGGGGAGCAGCAAGGCACTGGGCACCCGAGCGGGGAGCAGCCGACAGAGGCGGGACATGGTGCAGACCCTCCATCGCCCTGACAGCTCCTTGTGCCCTTGCAGGTTCCTCCACCAGCACCCGACCATCAACGACGACCTGCCCAACCGCATCATCTCGGGCAGGGTGCGGGTCAAGCCCAACATCCGCGAGTTCACGGCCACCGCTGCCATCTTCGAGGATGGCACCACGGAAGACAACATCGACGCCGTCGTCTTCGCCACGGGCTACAGCTTCGCCTTCCCCTTCCTCGAGGACTGCGTGACGGTGGTGGAGAACCAGATCCCCCTCTACAAATACGTCTTCCCCGTGCACCTGGAGAAGCCCACTCTGGCCTTCGTCGGCCTCATCCAGCCGCTGGGCGCCATCATGCCCATCTCGGAGCTGCAGTGCCGCTGGGCCACGCGCGTCTTCAAGGGTAGGACGGGGCAGCGCCGCGGGGCCGCGGCCGCGTGCCCCCCGCCCGCCCCCACGCTGCCCCTTCCCCCTTAGGGCTCTGCGCGCTGCCGCCCCGGCACGACATGGAGGCCGACATCGAGCGCAAGCGGGAGGCCATGGCCAAGCGGTAAGGACGTGGTGGGGAGCCCGCCGGCCCGGCCCGGTCCTGCCGGTGCCGGGCCCAGCCGCGCCGCCTCCCGCAGGTACGTGCGCAGCCCGCGGCACACCATCCAGGTGGACTACATCCCCTACATGGACGAGCTGGCCGAGCAGGTGGGCGTGAGGCCCAGCCTGGCCGGCCTCTTCCTCCGCGACCCGCGCCTGGCGGCCGAGGTGCTGCTGGGCCCCTGCACACCCTACCAGTACCGCCTGCGGGGCCCGGGGCGCTGGCACGGCGCCCGCGCCGCCATCCTCACCCAGCGCCAGCGCATCATCAAGCCGCTGCGCACCAGGCACGTGGAGGAGGACGCGGCGGCCTCCTCGGTGCCGCTCCTGGCTGTGCTGCTCGCCGCCGTGGCCGCCTTCGCCCTCCTCCTCGCGTACGTCTAGGCTCCCGCCCGTGCTGCCGCAGGGACACGGAGCCCTCGGAAGCATCAGGAAGAGCCAGGACTCTGTGCGGGACCCAGGGAAACCCGTCCCCGAGGACGCAGGTCCCCACGGCTGCTCAGTGCCTCCCGGCGCTGCCCCTGCAGCTGCGTGGGGAGCCCTGATAACGCTCCGGGGAAGCCCGTCCGTCCCGGCAGCACCCTGACCCTGCTGCCGCCTCCCCGAACCCCCAGCCGCCACCAGAACCCACGCTGTCACTGGAGGGCACGGGCGCCGGCAGCCCCCCGGCTGGATTAAAGAGCATTAAATGAGGCCGGCTGCCATGCATGGAGCAGGGCGGGCGGGAGCGGGCGCTGGGGCCGGCTGCCCATCTCAGTGTGGGATGCAGTGACTGCCACTGGTGCCACCAACACTGCCCAGGGACACAGTGAGCGGCTCCTGCACACGCGCTGGCCACGGGGCGCCCTCTCCTCCGTGCCCCACATCATCAAGGTCCTCCTGAGCATTAGCTGCTCAGGAGGAGATGTGGTTTGGGCAACTCTCGCCACATGCAGGGGACATGGACTCCTTGCCAGGGCGCTTGGGGAGGAGGGCAATCAAGTGTCCCCCACGCGGGGGTGCCCGGCCGCGCCGCGTGGGCGCCGCCGCCAGCGCCTGCCCTCGAGCGACATGGCCGCCCCGCGCACCGCCCCGAGCCAACATGGCGGCCGCCCCTAACCAACATGGCTGCCGCCCGCCACCGCGGCGAGCCGCGCCGCCCTCGAGGGAAATGGAGGCTGTCCAGCGGGCGGGGGCAGCGAGGCGGCGCCCCGCCGGGCCCGGCCCGAGGTGGGGTGGCCGGGCCCGGCCCGAGGTGGGGCGGCCGCCCCGCTGGTGCGCGCTCCATGGCGGAGGCGCGGCCATGGCGGGGGCGGGCCGGAACGTCTCGCAGGGGCGGGCGGTGGTGGCCGGGGGGTGTCGCCATTTTGGACGGAGGCGGAGAGCGGGGAGGCGGCGGCGGCCAGGTGGGGCCGGGGCGAGCCCGGGCCGGGGGCCGCGGGGCAGGATGGACGGGGCGGCCCGAGGGCTGCTCCGCCGCGGGGCCCGCGCCCGGCGCCCGCCCCGTCCCCGCGCAGCCGTGCGTGTCCGCGCGGGGTGCGGCGCTTGGAGAGGGGCAGCCGCTCGGGAGGAGCGGGCGGCGCGGGCGGAGGGGCGCGCTGCTCCCGGGCAGGGCGGCACCGCTCCGCGCCTCGTCCCCGGGGCCGTCCTGCGCCTCCCGTCCCGCTCCCGGCGGGCAGATACCAGCCTCTCAGCCGGGAGAGCAGGGCAGCAGCTTGGGAGCGCCCTGCGGAGCTGGGCAGCCTTCCCGGGAGCTCGTTGGGCTCCTCCGGGCAGAGGGAAAGGTGTCGGAGCATCCCTGCCACCGTGGGCTGCTGGCGATACAGGGAGCGGAGCCGCCCCCGGGCCATCTCCTAGCCCTGGGGATTTAAGGAACCCGTTAGTCGTTGCGGGTAGCATTAGGAAGCCTGGCTTTGGCCGGCAGCCTGGCTTGGCGCCCCGGGTCTAACCCGATGTGCTAAACCGCTCTGGGAACGGTGGAGCCGAGCGTGTGCAGCCTGCGGAGCCGGCCTTCGGCATGGCGCGGCCGGGAGCACCCATCGGAGCACTCCGGAGTGAACCGGGGACGGGAGCGGGAGCCGCTGGCCTCAGCCCCGCTCATCGGGCCGAAGGGCCCTACGGGGTTCTTCCGTTGGAGGAACCCTACGAGGTTCTTCCGTTGGCGGAAGCGGGGACGGTGCCCAAGCTCCCCGCACGGAGCCACGCCGGGGCGGCCGGCCGTTCCTTCGGCTCGCGGACACCGCCGCTGCGGCGCTGACGTGTGCGGCGAGCGATAGGCGAATAGCACAAGGAGCTGAGCTCTCGGCAGGCGCCACGGCCTTGGCCTCGCGCCTTGGCCACCCTCCAGCTTGGGCAATTCCACTCGGGCGCCCTAAACGCTCCCTGTTGCCTTTGCCAGGCGCAAGGCTCTGCCCGCCTGCCCGTGGAGAGTTGTTGAGCGCTGTTGAGCAGCTGCTGCCCTCGCTCCCTGCCTCTTCTCCTGCTGGAAGCAGAAATTTGGTCCGCAGAGCCTGTTGAGACCGTTGTGAAAGGGGCTCTGTTTATGCTAGGCAATTGATTTGTCAGCAAAAGTTGGCTTTATTTTTTCCCACCAGCCCCTCTAGCCCGCTGGCTGTTGAGAGTTGTGTAGGACGCAGTGCAGTTCGTGTATTTTTTTAAGACTATAACAATTACCAGATTAACTGAAGCAATGGCTCTCAAAGATACGGCTATAATTAGGTCAGGCTGTCTTGTTTGCTAAACTCCCCTGCATGGCAGCGGGGCTGAACTTTGGGCCTTTTTTTAGGATTGCTGTCAGCCTCGCGGGGCGAAGGACACTGGGCAGCGAGCGGCGCTTTGCTGCCTCTCCGCAGGAGTGACGCCGTCATCCCGCCGTGCCCGGCGCGGCGTGCCGAGCTGCCATGGGGAACACCACGAGCGAGCGGCTCTCCGGCGAGCGCCACGGCTCCAAGTCGCACCGCTCGGACGGCTCCAGCGCTGCCCACTCCGCCAAGGAGCACCCGCACAAGATCATGGTGGGCAGCACCGACGACCCCACTGTTTTCAGCTCCCATGACTCCAAGGTATGGGCTGGCTGCTGCCTTGGGCTCCTGGCGGGTGGCTCTGCTGGGCTGAGGCAATTCGCGTGGAGGGGGTTTTGTCAGCTCATGTGGCAGCTGCTCTGTCTTTAACGCTCAATTCGAGTGCTGCAGAGAGAGATGTGAACATGGTTCCTGTTGTTCCTATGTCTCAGTTGGCTTTGGGTTTCTTTCTTCAGGTTCCTGGGGACAAGGAGTTCGTATCCTGGCAGCCGGACCTGGAAGAGGCAGTGAAACCATCCCAGCAAGCTCGTCCCACTGTCATCCGCTGGGCCGATGGGGGCAAAGAGGTCTTCATCTCTGGGTCCTTCAACAACTGGAGTGCCAAGATCCCACTTATCAAGAGGTAGCTAGCCCCTGAGCTCACCCTCTGATCCCTGCCTTGCTGGCTGTACAGCTATGTTATCTCATGAGCTGTTCCTTGCTCCATCACTGGGACTCTTTGCCCTTCCCTGCTGTTTCTTACCCCTCTTTTCTGCATTCACACCACTCAAGGCAGAGCACAAGGATGCAGCCCGAGCACGAGTGTCCTTTTCTCTGGGTGGCGCAGCTGCCATGGGGGGAGGTTGTGAAACAGAGGGACAGGACAGGATGGACCACTTTGTTTTCCCAGATGGATGTCAGGCAGCGTCTAGTCCCAGCAGGAGAGCCCAGCCCAGGAATGCAGCTCTTGCTTGGAATTTGTGACTTCTTCCCTTGGCTGTTAGTTTGCGCCTTACCTATTTGCACTGTTGCCAGCAGGGGTTGTTTAGTTGTCCTGCACGTGTCTTCCTGCCCTAAGGATGTTGATCTTCATGTTGTGTGATACAAATTTCCATGGAGTCACTGTGTAGGACTCTGGGCATAATCCCAGCAAATCATAGGGATGGGGTTTATCCCAGTTGCAGATTGCTCCAGCAGAGCTGCTATACTTTCCTGCTGTCCTGCAATGCCAGCTTGGTGCAGATTTGTTGTCCTGTCCCCTGTGTCTTCCATGGAGGGTCTGTCACACCCCCTTTCCCTGGGTATGCAGGGCAGGTTTGCAGGTTGAGCTGCCTCCTATGCTCTGCAGGCCTGGACTCAGAGGTCCAAGCTGTGCTTGTGCCCTGAGAGCTGGTGCCTCTTGTTCCCTAGATCATCAATGGGGACCAAGCTGAATCTTAGGCTGGGGACCAGGGGATGGTCACTGTGGGACAAAGCGCTGTGTTCTGGCACCCCAGTGTCCAGAGCAGCTCTGGGATAAAACTGTTGCATTTCTGTTCTCTCCTTCCAGCCACAATGACTTTGTTGCTATCCTCGACCTCCCTGAAGGAGAGCACCAGTACAAATTTTTCGTGGATGGCCAGTGGGTCCATGATCCTTCTGAGGTAATTCTCAAAGCTTTATGCTTGTGAATCTTGCCTTCCTTTGAGGTAGTGTAACTGCAGCACAAGGAGAGCAGGGCCTATCACCAGATCTAAAGGAGCGCTTATCTCCTGAATCTTTCCAGAGGCTGGTACCTCTGGACATACATGTGCTATATTGGAGAGTGTCAAAGAGATAAAAGGAGGCAGTGAGACACAAGGAGGTTTTAAAACCAATTTGGATTGGCTGTGGAGGAAGGCAGCCCAGGGCCCAACATTCACTTACGAGTTCTCCTCCAAACTGAATCATGTAGGAGCAGTGTGGGAAAGAGAGAGGACCCTTACCCATCAGTGAGGAGCAGAGGGTAGGAGGAAAACAGGAGGTTTCATAAGGGTAGGACTCTGGAAATAGGGAAAAATCCTCCCGGGATAAACAACAGAGATCCACTAATATAGAGCAGAGCTCAGCACTGGCCACTTGTGCTCTGAAGTGATGAGACAGCAAGGAGAAAGTGGTCTGTGAGGGGCTGGGAAGGATCCGTGTGTGAACACAGGAAGACTCTTACCTCAGTTCTTCTCCTCAGCCCGTAGTCACCAGCCAAATGGGGACAATTAACAACCTGATTCACGTCAAGAAGTCAGACTTCGAGGTGTTCGATGCCTTGAAGGTGGATTCTCTGGAGAGCTCAGAACCCTCAGGTCGGGGTGAGTTTTTTGTTGCATTGCAGCTTTGCATGTGCTGTTTTCCATCTCCCTTGCTCTAACACTTGCTTTTCCCTGCTAGTGCCAGGTCCCCTGAGCCAAAGGGTGAGCCCAGGGGACAGTAGCTTGCAGTGGTGTGGCCTGCCCTCATCCTAAGCAGCCCCCGGCAGAGGCATTGCCCCTGCAGAGGGGCTGTGCTGGTGGCACTGGTTCTGTGGTGGCACTGGCCCATGATGGGGTCAGTGCTTGCGTGGGGCTGGGGCCGTTTCAGCCTAGTGAACAGCAGAGCCTCCCCTGCTGGGCCCGTTGCCTCTTTCAGTCTCTCAAATGTGAGCAAGTTATCTGATCTGGGGTATAAGTTAGACGAGAGCAAGATCCAGGTTATTTTCAGCGCCCATTCTTGGCTTTGGTGCCAAGGCAATTTGTCCTGGTGCTAACCCCTCGGGAAGCTCCCTCTCCGCTTGTGTTTCAGCGGCGGGTTAGGTTACGGCTCGGACTCGGCTCAGTGAGCAGCGCTGGCAGGCACCTCAGCTGTGTTTCAGTCCAGGGCGCTCTGAGCAGGGTCTGCTGTCCCTGGCACGAGCCCCATCTCAGGTGCAGGCTGAGCTCCATGTCCTTGCCCAGCCTGAGCAGCAGGTACTTCCCTGGAAAGCAGCCAGCAGCTGCAGCGAGGAGGAGCCCTTCAGGTGCTGGCTGTGCCGAAACACCAGCTCAGAGGTGCTCGGGAGATGTGGCCATGCTTAGAAAGAGACAGCGTTTGCCTGGCTGCTTACTCGGCAGCTAAAAGGCTCAACTGTTGCTAGAGGATATGTGGCCAAGGGCAAACTAAGACTTGAAGACCCCTTTGGAATAAAACAAGCTGCCTTCTGGCCTGCAGGGGCTGTGGGAGCTCTGCTATTGCAGCCTGATGTGCAGGCAGCTTTCTGAGTGGGCTCGCGTGGGGCTGTGCTGTGAGCCAGACCCCTGCTCTCCCCGTGCTGCCCTCCTGCACCGTTGCCAGCGCCGTGGGCTCTGAGACCCTACGGCACAGCAGGCATCAGCTTGCAGCCACAAAGAGTGTGAAAAGCCTGCGCTGCTTCCCCACTGCATGTTAATCACAGCCTGCCAGAGGGAACTATAACCTGGACTCATGGGACTTCCATTAGTCATGGAAAGACCCAGCTAGGTCCTTCCCAGTGCCTTGGGAGCTGCTCTTGCATCCAGGGAGCATGTGTGTAGCCCAGCTTGGGCATCTCACATCCCCTCTGTTCTCTTCAGACCTGTCGAGCTCGCCGCCTGGGCCTTACGGCCAAGAGATGTACGTCTACCGGGCCGAGGAGCGCTTCAAATCCCCACCCATCCTGCCACCTCATCTCCTCCAGGTCATCCTCAACAAAGACACCAACATCTCGGTGGGTACCAGGCGCTACCTGCATGCTGTGCGCTCCTGCACCTCGTGGAGGGCTGGCTAGGGCTGGAAGGGGAGGCCTGGCTGCAAGGAGCCTGGCCTGCCCTTGGCAGGTACCTGCCCTGGGCTATGTCCTGGGAAAAGTGTTATTTTTCCCATTAGCCTGTTGCTCTGCCTCGTGTTTAGCTGGACTCTGTTCATGTTTAGAGCAGTTAGAGAAATGAGCAGCTCACATAACCTGCAACAACAAAATCCCCTTCTGCCTTCTTGCAGCCTATAATGGCTGGGGATGGACTTGGGGGATGAGGGCCGTGCTGTTCCTCTGTGACACCAGTTCTCCTTCTAGTGCGACCCAGCTCTGCTGCCTGAACCCAACCACGTCATGCTCAACCACCTCTATGCACTCTCTATCAAGGTAAGAACCCGGGGGGGGCAGGTGCAGTGGTTCCCAAGAGGAGGCCTGTGGGGACGGAGGTGCAGGGCTAGCAAGACTCACGTGAGGGCCGCTTGGTGCAACAGGGCACCCGCAGGGGTGAGGGCTGTGGTGTCCCGAGACCCCTCGCTTCCCTGGGGCTGCTTCTTCTCCGTGTGGGAAAGCTGAGCAGAGCCGGCCCTTTGCAGCCCGGCTCATGGCTCTCCATGGGTCTCACGTTGGGACGCTGGCACTGGCTGGGGCTGCCCCCGGGTGTCCCCGGTCGCTGCGTCGGGGCCGCGCGGCGCCCCGGCCCGTGGGCGGCCCTGCCTGCCCCGCTGATGCTGCGCCCGCAGGACGGCGTCATGGTGCTCAGCGCCACGCACCGCTACAAGAAGAAGTACGTCACCACGCTGCTCTACAAGCCCATCTGAGCTGGCGCCGCGCGGGACACGACACACCGCTTGCTGGGCACGTGCTGGGCCACAGGACTGCGTGAGAACTGGCTGCAGGCTCCAGCCTCGCACGTGGCAGGGACACAAGCCCCAGCGATGAGCCGGGCCTGTGACACTGTCCCATCCTACTGGCGTGGTTTGATTTAACCCTTGGTTTCCACCCATCTACAGCTCTTCTGGCTTCTGGAAGTCCCCAGGGGCCACTTTGCTGCTCACCAAAATCACCACCCCAGCTCCCCACACAGAAAGGGCTTCCCCCTACCCCTCTTCCTGAGCCTGCAGGGGCCCTGGGGCTGCCTTGGCACTGCCCTGCTGTTGCTGTGCTGCTCTGTTGCCGTCCCTCCAAGGCTGCCTTGGGCCCTAGGGGTTCTGCCATGCATCCCCCGAGTCCCTCAACCTTGGCTTTCAGACATCCCCTTCGCGGTGCTCCCAGCTTTGTGGAGAACTCTCACCTCTGTCCGCGTGGCTGCCAGCGGCACCAGCCCCGTGGTTCAGCTTGGAGCAGGGAGGGAGGGTGCTGCTGGATGCAGCCACGCTTGCCCTGCTGTCAGCACGGGCCCGAGGGGGCCCTGTCCTCGCTTTGGGGTGCCCCCGGGCTTGCCTCATCACAGCTTGAGGGACACCCGTGCCCCTTGGGGCTAGAGAGGGCCCAGGGCCCATGGAGCAGGACAGCTACTCCAGCCCCTCACCCCGGCTGCGCCAGCCGCTCTTGGGGCAATGCCACATGACTATTTATTACAGTATTTATTGTTCTCAGTGCTGCTCGCCTGGTCTTGGAGCGGGATCTGGGGCAGGGGGGTGATGCCCTGCGCTGCCCGCGGAGGGGAGGCGGGATCCCCTGTGCCTGCGACAGGGGACGGCCGCAGGGACCAGTGCACAGCGAACGTTGTAACCCACAGCAGCCTTTATTGGGGACGCCCCCGCTGCCGTGCACAACTCGTCACTTCTTACATCATCTTCCTGGGCTGGGGTCCTGATGTGCCCAGGGAGCCCCCAGCACACAGCTCCACTATCTATATCTCTGTCTATATATATATCTGTATATATATATACGTATAAATACATACATCCACAAGCAGGGAGGGGTGCAGGGCAAGGGTAGGACTAGGACGAGGTCCTGGGGGAGAAGGGCTGGGCTGGGAGGGCTGTGCCCCACGGAAGGGGCGAGGGGCAGGCGAAGCGCGAGGCGGTGCCGCCCGGTGAAGCTGGACGGAGGGCACAGACGGGTGCGGGGGCACACGCTCCAGCGCTCGCAGCAAGACCAGCCTCACGCCACGGGCAGCGCCTGCTGAGCCTTCACCTCCAGGTTGGTTCTGGCCTTACGCAGCACGTTGTGGGTCCTCGTCACTGTGGGGCACAGAGGGACGGAGTGAGGAGAGCCCCGTCCCGCCGCAGGGCGCAGGCGGGTGCGCGCGGCGCGCGGGCCACCTACGCTGGCTCACGACGAAGCGCTCCATGCTGTCCTTGAGGCGGGCAGTGCAGCGCAGCCGCGCCGCCGCGCGCTGCAGGGCTTCGTCCCTCGCCGCCAGCTGCGCCCGCAGCGCCGCCAGCTCGCCCCGCAGCGCCTGCTCCTGGCAGCGACACATGCCGTGAGCACCACGCGCTGCGAGCGCCGCGCACGGTGAGCGCCCGCGAGCCGCCCGCCGCCTGCCCTACCTTGGCCGCGTGCTGGGCAGCGCCGGCGGGCAGCGCGGCGCTCCAGAAGGCGCCCAGCAGAGACGCGCACTCGTCCAGCGCGCGGTGCAGGCGGCGCGCGCTGCCCCACGCCTGCGCCTGCGGGACAAGGGCTGGGAGCAGGGGCTGCCGGGACGAGCCCGGGGACAGCCCGTGGGGCGCGGGCGGCTGCGCGCCAGCCTCAACGCGTGGGGCTGGGTGTCAGGCTCGCGCGCTGGGAGTGCAGAGAGCCGAGGTGAGCAGCGGGGTTTGGGGCCTGCCAAAGCTGGGAGGCTCCCGCGCTCGGGGCTGGGGACAGCCGGGAGGCACTGGCAGCCCCGGCAAGGCGAGCACCCACCCGGGGCTTGGCCTGGCACAGCACGGCAGGCCCGGGGCGGCACACATGCCACCCCAGCACACAGACATGCCGGCTGTGGGGAGCGCTCATGTGCACACACATGCATTTAACCATCACCCGGACTGCCTGCTGGTGCCGCCGGGGCCTCCTGCCCCGGGCCGGGGCGCAGGCTCCGTCCCCAGGCTGGCTCCATCTCCGTCTCCATGCCCGTCCCCGTCCTGCCCGCGCTTTACCTCCTGGCCTGGGCGGCTGGGCGGCTCCAGCGTGGGACACATGAGGCCCATGAGCTCGCGGGCCAGCGCTTTCCCCTCCACCACGCGCTGCTCCAGGGCCCGGTGCGTGTCCAGGCGGCCAACAACGTGGGTGCCCGTCGGCCCCTCGCTCTCCCGTGCTGGCAGGTCAGCTCTGCGCGGCTCTGCAGACAAAGTGGGGCAGGGTAAGGCCACAAGCAGCCTCCCCCTCGCAGGGGCTGGGCTCTGCCCCACATGCCCCCCGGGTACCCACGCAGCCGGGCTGCAGCACATACCGTCCATCTGTGGGGCTCCTGAGGTGCCTGTAGGTGGCGGGGAGAAGGGGACTGCTGAGCTCGTGCCAACGTCCCGCACTGGAGGAGAGGGGAAGCAACCTGGAAGAAGCAGCGACAGAGCCCCAGCAGACACCTATGGCCCCATGCCCAGGGCGGCTGGGTGTCTTCCCTCCCTCCACAACAAGGAGAGTATTTAGGACCCACGTGTACCTGCTCGTGTCCCCACAGAGGGGCCGGGGAGCTTCTCGTAGCCGTGCAGCTCCGCGTGCAGGGCCTGCAGGAGCAGGCGGTGCTCCTCGCACTGCTGCTGCAGCAGCGTCACCGTGTGCTGCAGCCTGCGGGGCAGCGACACCGTGCAGGTGAGGGACCAGCCCCGCCACCCGTCCTGGGGCCTCGCGGCCCCTCTCCTACCTGTTGTTGTCCTCCTGCAGAGCGAGCCGCTCATCGCGGAGCTGCCGGACGCTCTCCTGGCCCTTGGCAAGCTCATCCGCCAGCCTCCGCTGCTCCCCGCGCCTCCGGCCGGCCTCTACCTCGGCCTCCTGTGCCCGCGAGCAGGCAGCCAGCAGCGCCTCCTGCACCCGTGCCAGCTCTAGGGACAGAGAGCACGGAGGTGTCGCCGCCCCGCTGTGTATCCAGGATGCGTATCCGTGGCGGAGAGCCTAGCCCTACCTTGGGAAAGGTGGTCGCGCTGGAGCCGCAGGCTCCGGTTCTCCTCACGCAGCGCCCGGTTCTCGCTGCTCAGCCGGGACGCCAGCTCCTGGCCCTGGGTGTAAGCGTCGGCAGAAAAGCCTGCAAGCGAGGGCTGCGTGAGCGGGGAGCGGTGCCGAGCCCCTCGACCAGCACCCCGCCATCCACGGGGCGAGCGCTTCCCCATGCAGCGGGCGGTGCCGGGCGCCAGTGCCGCGCGTACCGCTGGCCTTGCCCGTGGAGGCCAGGCGCTGCTCGAGCTGCTCGCGCAGCCGGTCGTTGGTGCAGATGGACTCCTCGAGGCGCTGCCGCAGGCCGCGGATCTCCAGCAAATGCTCCTCCAGGAGGTCCGCCCCTGCGGTGCGCGGGGCACGGCTCAGGGCAGGGTCCCCGTGCCGCCCCACGCCAGAGCCACGTCCCATGGCGCTCCCGAGCGCCCTGCCCGTCCCCTCATGGGGACATTACCTGTCAGCTTCTGGCTGGAGGGGTGTCCTGGTGCCAAGGCGCCGCAGAGCGGTGGTGCGACCCAGAGGCCGTGGGGCTGGAGCGCCGTGGCTGGGCCCTGCGGGGCCCCGTGCGGGCACCGGGAGCCGGCGGGATTGCTGCCCGCTCCGCAGGGCCCCGCTGGCGCCGCGGGCTTGGCAGGCAGCGCCGCACCTGCACGCACGGGACGAGGTGCTGAGGAAGGAGAGGCCAGCAGGGAGGAAGGCTCCGGGGAAGAGCCCCTCCTGCTTTGTGCTTCTTCCCCCTCCTCTCTGTGCCCCACAGTGACCCCATCTCCAGTCCCGCTGTCTGCGCCCTGCCCAACCCACTCACCTTGGGGAACAGAGGGCACCCTGATTCCATGATATGAGTTGGAGGGTCTCAGCCCCACTGCTATACAAGGGCTAACCAAAGCAGCCCTTTCCAAGGGGCCCCTGGGGCATCCGAGCACCCTCTGAAAGTCTGGAGCGACCTTGGGGTTGTGTCCACCCCATTCTCCCTTATCTGCCCACAACAGTGCCCATCCCCAGGGGGGCACCACGGCTGGACCCGGCCCCGGGCAGCAGGAGAAGGACCCAGGCGGGATGGAGGGGATGGAGGGATGGGGGGCTGCGCATGCAGCGTGGCCAGCAGGCAGCACCCACCCGTGTGCTCGCTTTCTCCCAGCTGTCTCCGGAGCACCTGCAGTTCCTGCTGCGCCTCGGCCAGGGAGCAGCCAGGGGGCCCGCAGCACCCCAGGAGCGCGGGCGCTGCGGCAGGGGCGGCCCCGGCGGGCAGAAACGGGGGCAGGCTGGGGAGCAGCGCAGGCAGGGGGGCACTAGCGGGCTTGGACAAGGAGTCAAAGTGAAGGCCTGGAGACAGGAGAGAGACGAGGGAGACGTTACCGGGACCGGCCAGGCAGGAGAACACCTTTCCTCCCAGGAGCCTGTCGTGCTCCAAGCAACCAAATCCATATCCACGGCTGCTGGGACTGGGATGCCTCACGGTGCCACGCACGTGTGGTCCCCAGCCCCGGTGCACTCACTGGTACCTGCTCCTCGGGCGGGCTCCTCCCGGCACTGGCTGCACTCGCTGGCCGTGTCGCCGTCAGAGCCGGCCTCGAGCCCATCCGACACGAACGAGGTGCTCGTGATGGAGCGGGACGACTCGGAGGGCGGGCGGCTGCTGCCCGGTGACTCGCAGCGCTCCTGCAGCTTCTCCTCCAGCCTCTCAATCACCTTCTCCTTCTCCTGGAGCTCCCGGCTGAGCCTGCGGAGAGAGTTGGCGATCAGGGTGCCCGGGGGAGGCAGGGCATGTCCATCTACCGCCCTTCCCACCCCAGCCAAAAGCAGCGAGGGCCTTAGGGCATCCTCCCCGGCAGCGGGTACCTCAGCACCAGCAGTTCATGGCTGCTCTTATCCTCCCCGTCCTGCCGATCTCCTGAGAAACACAACCCGGAGCGGGGCAGTCAGCCTCCCCGCGGCCCGCCGGCAGGCGCCCGTCGCGCGCCCGGGCGCTTACGGGGGCTCAGCTTGTCGCTGAGGCTCTCGGCCAGCTGGCGGCCCTGGGCCAGCCGCTCGCGGAAGCCCTGGCCCAGGTAGTAGTCGACGTCGGTGCCGCGCAGCAGCTCCTCGAAGGCGCGCAGGGCGGCGCGCAGGTGCTGGGCCAGCGCGCGGCTGGCGCCGTGGCCCTCGCGCAGCGCCTGCCGCAGGTGCGACAGCTCCCGCGCCTGCGCCTGCACCAGCGAGTCGTATTTCCTAGGGGGAAACGGGCGGGCTGAGCCGGGGACCTGCCGTGGCAGCGGGACCTGTCCACGCCACGCGCCCGGCTCCTACCCCGGCCACGTGGCCGACTGCAGCTCCTTGGGCGAGACGGCACCGGGCTTGGCCGCGGGCAGCTGCGCCTCCAGGAGGGCCACACGCTGCACCAGGCGCTGCAGGTCGCGGTGCGCGCGCAGGGCGGGCGGGCACACGCCGTCCGACTGCCAGCCCTCGTCCTCGTCGGTGAGGCTGCGCGCCGGCGAAGCCAGGGCGGCGGGGCCCGCCGGCGGCCGCTCCGCGCCCGACGTGTAGCCGCTGGTGACGGACACGGAGCGGGCCCGGCGCTGCAGGCTCTGGATCACCTTGTTGGCGTGGAGCAACTGCGCCTTGAGCTCCTGCACGTGCCGGTGCAGGGCGCCCACGTCCGGCGGGGGCACGGCCTTGAGGGCGGCCTCGGCAGCCGCCAGCCACCGCGGGGACCCCAGCTCGCCGCCCACGCTGGGCTCGCTGAACACGTCGGGCTCCTCGCACTCTGCGGAGCAGACGGGGAACGGTGTCACCGCCACGTTCCTGGTGAAGTCTGGGATGTCCGGAGCCCGGTGGTGCTTACCGGGGCTAGTGGTCTCATCGCGCTCGGCCTCGGTCTCACTGCGCCCGCACGTCTCGTAGCCCAGGTCCTGCACGTCCACCTGCACCTGCTTGCTGAGCCGCTGGGCGCGGGGCTCGCCTGCACGGCGGCACCGTGAACACCACGTCCCCCGGGAGCCCCACGGCCCGTCCCCCTGCACCCCGACTCACGGAGCAGCACGTGGTAGTGGTGCAGCTGCGCCGCCTGCGCCCGCACCGTGGCCTCCGAGGCGGCGAGCCTGTCCTGCAGCTCCCGGCACTGCCCGGCGCGCTGTGGCTCCGCGCTGGGCGCCGGGCCCTCCTGCGGCGGGAGCGGAGCCGCGGTGAGCCCCGCCGCGCGTCCTGCCGCACTCGCCCGCGCCCCGCTGCAGCCGCTGCTGCTTACGTGGCTGCTGCCCGGGCTGCTGGGGCAGGGTCTCTTGGGCGCCTCGTCCCAGGCCCGTGCCTCGAGCGCGGGGCGCTTGGCGGGCACCGCTCCCCTCTCCGCCGGGAGCCCCTGGCCGTCCCTCGCGGCGCTGCCGGCAGGGCAGTCACCCAGGGCACAGCGGCCCCTCCGCTGGAGCCTGCGGGGCTCAGGAGTCGGGGCGCCGCCCGGGCCGGCCTCCTCCTGCTCCCCGCTGTCCAGCAGCAACGTGGCTTCGCCCATGCGCTCCTTCAGCTCCGCGTTCTCCAGGCACAGGCTCAGCATCGCCTTCCTGGGGGTGTGTGGCACCGTGAAGGGTCGGGGGGCCGGGACACCGCCGCCTGCAGCCCCTGCTGCCCGCCAGCGCCTGGCTCTTGCCTCATGTGGGAGACAGAGGAGAAGCCGGCATCCTCCAGCTGCGCTTGCAGCTCCCGCAGCTCTGCTTCCGCCCGCGCCTGCCGCTCCGCCACGGCACCCTCTGCGCCCTCCTTGGGGCCTCGGCGGCCGCTCTAGAAGGACAGATTCAGCAGGTGGTGGGGACATCCCCAAAGGGGCTGGGGCAGGGCAGTGATGCCAGATAGACACGGCACAGGCCCCAGAACCCCGTCCTGGTGCCATGCTGCTGCACCTCACCTGGTGGTTCCCTGCGCCACGGGCCGCCTCTGCCTCCTCCTCTGCGCTGGTGGTGAAGCTGGTGCCGTCACCGCCCGTCCCCGTGGCCTGACCTAGGAGACAGAGCGAGGTGCTGGGACACGCAGCGGGAGCGCCCGGCTCCACACAGACTGGATCCTGCTGCACGCCAGAGCTCAGCCCAGCGGCACAGCACTGTACTGAGCAGGAGCACCCCCGTGCTGCCAGATAGCACCTCCATGCTACCTTACACCGGACACCCCAGCACGCGGGGCTAGACTCCCCATCTCACCCATGCTACAGCATCACAAGCCTCAGCCACGGTGAAGGCTGGGGCGCGAAGCCCCCTGCACCAGCCTGCCCTGTCACGGGACAGCACCCCAAGGGCACCACGGGGTCCCTGCCCTTGCCCCGTGTGGCACCAAGCAGCACGCACAGCCGCTTGCTCCTGCACGGGGATTCAAGGCCGTCCCCTTGGGGCTGCGCAGGGCTGGGGTCGGCAGCCCCAGCGCCCCTGGGGAGCCCGCTCTCCCCTCTGGCCCCGGCTCGCAGGCAGGAGCGGGCACGGCACCCACAGAGGCACAAACCCAAGTGCAGAGGGTGGGAGCAGCAGGGAGCCCCCGCGCAGGAGCTGGGCTCAGCCCAGGGGAGCCCCTTCGCAGGAGCCGGGCCCAGCCCAGAGGAGCGCAGCCGGGAGGGCTCCCACACACCCCGCTCCCGAAACCCACCCGTGCCAGGGGTGGCCAAGGGCTGCGGGTGTCAGGGGAGTCACAGCCCGGCCCGGCCGGACGTCACCCGCCCCCGCTGCAGCCTGTTCCGTGCGCGAGACGCGCGAGCTGGAGGAGCCTCCTCAGCGAGCACAGCGCTCAAGAGCCATGAGCAGCAGCCACAGCAGCGGGAACCAAGTGAAGCAGCAGCTCCTGGAGGGAGGCGGTTTGGGACAGGCAAAGCCTCAGGCTCCCTTGGGACTCACTGGGATAGGAGCTACCTAGTGACAAAGCGCCCAGGGGCCTACAGCCTCCGGGGACAGCACAGGACCCCCGTGTCCTCGGTCACATGGGTGCTGGAGGGGCCAAGGGCTGCACGCAGGCTGAGCAGGGGACCACGCGCCCGGGGGGCTGTGACCAGCACAGCCAGAGGGAACTCGGCTCTTGGTCAGTGCTCACGGGCTCAGGCTGCTCCTGCTGCTCCAGGGTCGAGGCAGGAGGGAGCACGAGCCTGGAGCGGGAGAAGAGGGAGGTGAGGAAAGAAGTCGGTACATAGGGCAGCAGGGAGCGCATGTGTGGGCGCCCTAGCTCCAGCTTGGTGCTTGCTGAGCACCCGAAGCCTTCCCAGCCGCAGGAGCGCCCAGGGCAGTGCAGACCACGGGGAACAGGGGCTCCCCGGCCACTTCATGGGGCGGCAGAAGAGAGATGTCAGGCTGGGCCTCTGCTTGTCACCAACCTCGCGCCTCTCACACCAAGCTCAAAGTGGATGAGTTGCATGGCTTGAAAACTGCACAGGAGCCACAGGGCTGGAAGGATTCCCAGCTTCACTGGAAATCCTCACACCAAGAGAAGGGAAACGAGGTCCTCAAGGAAACCCAGAGAAGAAGCTCTTCACTAAGAGCTGCAAGACAGCAGAGAGCAGCTCAACAGAGGGTGCTCTCTGCACTGGATGCTCAGGTATGTACAGGCTCAAGGAGCAGACAGCAAGGGAGAGCAGGGATGAAACAGGGCCCTAAAGAAGAAGGCAGAGAACGTAGGAGAATGCGGGAGACCACAGTCCAGATCAACACTCACCCCACAGCTGGGCTGACACAAGGAGAGAGCTCAGAGACAGATCTACAGCAGAACATGAGCACGAGCGAGGGGACAGCCAGAGCACCAGCCCGGGTGGACCTGTGCTAGGCCACGGAGCTATGTCCTGGGCTCCATGCTTCCCCAGGCATCACGGAGCAAACCAGAGATGGAGCAAGGAAGGGTGAAGACAAGGACAGGGACACAAAAGGTCCTACAAAGTGAGAGGCAGGAAAGAGAGGAGATGATGCTACACAGAAGCGAGAGGAAGCTCATGAGGAGAAAGATGGAAAAGGAGCAAAGGCAGCCCCTGAGCAGAGCTGTCCAGCACCACGTCCCCTCAGTGCACGTGGCTTTGATGGCTGCACAGCCCCAGGGGTGAACACTGACCTGCTGCGCAGAGGGGAGCCCGTGCTGACGCCTGGCCCTGCCGCAGGCAGGGAAGGGAGGACGTGGTCACAGGTGCAGGGCCCGGGCGTGAAGCAGTCACAAGGAGGCAGGAGCAAAGCGGGTGCGGGTCCGGGTGGCACTGGCCCAGTAAGATGGAGCTCTTCTGCTCCACCCTCCAGGTGGGAATTCCCTCGGCCAGCACAAATGGAGGTGAGCAGAAGTACAGAATCTAGTCCCACCACCTTGGGAACGATCCAGGAGGACATGGCTGATCCATGCCCCTCTGCACACAGGAAGCAAATGCCCCCGGAAAGCTGCTGCTAGCACTTTGCAGCGCTTACACCATCCTCGTTGCTCTCGGAGGAGAGGAAGGATGCCCTGGAGAAGTGAAGCAGCAGTGCCCCGTGTGGCTGCCACTGGCAAAGCCATGGCCCAAGGGGGCTGTGGAGCCGGTGACCAGGATGCACACGGAGCAAGACAGCAGAGCCAGCACCTGCCAGCCCAGACTCTGGGCTTATTCATCCCAAACCATTTGATCTCTCCCTCAAGGCACAGAAGTCAAGCTGAGGCAGGACTTGCAACTAAATAATTAAAAAAACCCAAAACTATAACCATAAAAAAGGAGAGTTCAGGTAAGTCTTCACTGTTGACACAGCATTTGGTTTCAGCACAAAGGAATCACTGGCTCTATGCTCCAAAACACTAGTGCAAGAGTGCCAGGCAAGCAGCCAGTCCCTGCTCTACAGATCTTGGGGCCTTTCCCAAATTCCCTAGCTCTGGACCCCACTTGTCCACGTACACTTCTCCTTCTGCACCAGCAGCCATCAACCCAAGAAGGGGATGTTATTGGGTAGAAATGGGGAAGGGAATACAAAAAAAAAAAAAAAACTCACACTCATGCACTTGGGGCGATGATAGAGAGCATTTGGTGCTTCTTTCAGTGATAGGGAATCTTTATTTGGCCCATGGGGAAAGGGAGAAGGGAGATGAAGGGGAATCATCTAAAATGGAATGATTGAGTGTGCAAATACATCGGTGACCACGGGGTGGGTCAGACAGGAACGTACACAAGACACGGGTGGATTGCACTGATTGCAGTTTCCAAGCAGCTCTAGAAATAACCCAGGAGGCCCCGTCCCAGCTCTCCCGCCCCGTCCCGAGCAGCAAAGCCAGAGTCAGTGCGGCGGCTCGCTCGGTTAGTGAGCGTCTCGGTGGCGGTGGCGAGCGCCAGGGCTCAGGAGGCATGCTGGGCTAGGGCTCTCGCACGCTCCTGCTCCCCACCTCCTAAGGTGCCCTGCGTCTCCAGCCTGCTCAAACGCTCCAAGCTTCTTCCAAGAGCTTCTTCCAGCTGTCCGCGGAGCTCCTGGACCCCTTCCAGCTCCACCTGCAGAGTGTGGTCTCTCGCAGTGCTGAGTGGACATGCGGTACAAAAGGGAAGAGGGTTAGACAGGCTGCAGCAAGCACGCTGCCAGTCCCTCCAGGACTACCACTTATCCCCAGCACAGGCCTTCCAAGCAACTTGGATCCCTCCTGCCTCACCCCTGAACCTCCCCAGAGCACATCCAGCCCAAAAAAGGCTGCGGCAGGACAGGGGGCTCCTCGGAGCAGCTGTTCTTCAGTACTTACCCAAGCACTCCACGTATGTGCTCTCGGCCTGGCAGGTAGCTCAAATATCTGATGGGCTGCAGCCCCGTGAAGGGCAGGGGATTAGTGTGGAGGACAGACACAGGCCGTGCTGTGCTGCAGGACAGCAGCACCTACACAGGCCCATCTCAACCCAGTGCAGAATTTGACATAGGCAAGAACAGCCTCCAAGAAGTACTTGAATGTGAGTGGGAAACCCAGTGAAAAAGGCATAGGCCAGGGAATGGTGAGTAGTTTACAGAGCATTTGAAGCTGCCCATTATACTGCTATCAGGGCAGATATAATGCCAAAATTCCAAGAACTAAGCTTGTCTAATTCCTCCCGCAGGCTCCCTCTCTCTCCAGGGGCTCAGGGGCCTGCAGAATACTCACAGCTTGAGGGGTCACCCCCTGGATGACATCCCCACACCCCAGGGCGCTGCGGAGCCAGAGCTGCCCTGCTTACCTGTCCGGGTGCGTGTGGAACTTCACCAGGCTGCTGTAGAGCTGCCTCTCTGCCTGCAGAGCCTCATTCAGCCGGTTCCTTTCAGCCACCAGCCCTTCCAGCATCAGTAACAACTGGCCGGAGTACAGACAGGAGATAACATTCAGAGGCAGAAACCAAAGGAGGCATCTGGCTGCCCCTGAGGAGTGGGGGCTTCCTCTTGCTTTAAGTGATCAAAACCAACCACAGTGCCACCCCAAGCTCCCCAAAAGACCACCCTTAATGGCAATGCTGGAAGAAACCAATCTTCTCCTTTGTGTTCCCCTTTCCATACAGCCAGCCTCCAAGAACAGGCTCCTCAACTAATCCAGAGGCCAAAAGTTTAGCTGCAAGCACCAGCACAAAAATGACACACTACCTGCTGCCTTCTGTTTCCAGTAGCCTCTTGCACTCGTGATTCTGCTACGGTCACTTTCTCCCGAAGCACCAACACTTCTTGAGTCAGCCTTTCCACGGCTGGAATTTCTTCAGGGTCCACCAGCTGCATCTGCAGATCCTGAAAACCCAACACAGGAGGGCTCAATGGAGGAGGGCTCAGTAACAAGGACAGCTGAACTGTTGTAACCCTCCCTGGAATGCAGCTGTCAAAAGTTTCCAGTGTCAGGGAAGACCATGGTCTTCAAAGACAAACACCCATGTAACCAAGGTATGTTAGCACAGGTAACAGCCTGAAGCAAGGTCTGAAGAGGAACACAAGCCACAGTGGTCCTTGGCCCTCCCAAGGAAGGGCACTTGGCACATGGGGAGTAGAAAGACAAATGATGACACCGGGGCAAAGGCCTGGGTTTGGGGTCCTTGCATTCTGGGCAACACCAGGCACAGCCAACACTGTTAATCTGAAGAGGCCTCTCATTCCTTAGCAGGGATATCCCGTTACTGCTATCACAGAAACGAACAGCTTGATTTCTGACATCTTGCCATGCAGTAGAAACAAGCGAGTGAGGAACAGGACACATGGGGAGGGAAGGGGCTCCTCTGTGGTCCTCCTGGGCAGGACTGCCCCAGCACAGCCCACTGCCTTACCTTGATGAGGTCCTCTTTGATCTGGATGTTCCTGGTCAGGGACTCGATATCTGAGGCCTGCACCTGCAGCTCTTCCTCCTGGGTGGCCACAACAGACTGGAGAGCAGTGAGCTCTCGCTGTGGGGGGAAAAGTCCATGAAAACCACAGCAAGCTCAGAGGGGCAAATGCCAAAACACCTCTGCAAGCTGCTGCCCCACATCTCCCCCTTGATAGGAGGTCCTTGATGGGAAAACCTCCCATGAGGGGCAGCTGGACAGCTTCCCTTAGGCAAGGCAAAGACAAACACGGGCTTTAGCAGCAGCTCACCCTGCTTTCCCTCTCCTTCTTCGCCATCAGCCCCAGCTCCTCTTTGGCATTAACAAGCTCCTTCTCCAACTCTGCTGCTGACGTTGCGACTGTGGAGTAAACAAGGTTAGTGCAGGGTTAACATGTGCTACCCAGTGCCTCACCCCAGGGTTTGACAGAAACCTTCTCTCTGGTCCACGCTGCCTGCTCCCCAACATGCCTTGCCTTGCTAAAGGCTGCTCCTCCCTTACTGATGCTTAAAGAGCAGCCCTGGGGACCAGCAATGGCCCAAGGCTGCTGTCCCACTCCTGGACAAGCTCATGTCCTGTGTCCTGGCCCCAAGGCTAACCCCAGGCCAGCCACACATGTCACCTCCAAGCTGAAACATCAGGTCAGAAACCCCACACTACACAACACCAACTGCCAAGCAGAAGTGTCTCACCCCCAAACCAATTCCTTTCCTATGGCTGTCACCCCCATGCATCCTCCAAGCCATCACCCAAGGGAAGGCTCAGCTTTATTTCAAAAGGCCCCTTTCAAACGTTTCTGTCCTCCCACCCTCTTAAGAGATCATTTTCCCCACAGCCAAAGCTCTAGATCACTGCTGAGATCTTAAAAGAAGCTGTCACAGCACTCACCGTCCTCTGTCCCGCAGCTCCTGTCCCTCTCCGGGGGTGCAGCACTGGCTGCAGCTCCACAAGCAGTCTGCAGTATTTCCTGAAAAGATTAAATTCTCCTGGTTTGCAGTTTTTTGGGGGAACCTAGCAGGCTCCCAGCTCGCCCAGAGCCCAGGCTCCAGCACTGCAGCAAACTGCTGGCTGCTTTCCTGCTGCCTCTGGGACACGACAGCGCAGTGAAGGGGAGCGACCCAGGCAGAAGGGCAGGTGAGCTGCAACCAGCCTGGAAGCTTCACATATGGAAGCAGAGCTCTGGCCTTGCTTTATGGGACACTAGGAGGTTGTTGGGAGACAGCTCCTTTACAATGAGGATTAAGCATTTTTCACTCGACCACAGCAAGCCCATCTTCCAACTGAAATTCCACTTGGACCTAAGTCTTCCTCCAGGGATTTGGCCCACCAGAGGGACCACACAGGAAGGAAAGTGCAGAGCGTGGCCCACATATACATCTCTGGAAGTCTCTGGAGCTCACTTTGATGCCAAGAATAGAAACAAGCCACCTGCTTACAGCTGTTTCAGACCCCTCAATATGTCAGTTCACCAGTAAACGATCAACAGCTGCTCAAGTAGGAATAGGGTGTACGTAGCCACCAAGTTGTGTTCACCCTCAAAGGGGTTTTTAGCAAAGCTGCTTTAAAAATACCAGTTCCAATTGTGGAAGTCATGGCAAAAGGCCAGCAGGCTCTGCCAAGAATTAGTGGGGCCTAAAATTAGCTCCCTTGTCCCTTCCAGAATGTGACAATGTCAGGGAGGGGATTACAATGCAGTGGCCCAGCCCAGCCCAAGGAAGGACTGGGTCAATGCTGGAGGGTCAGAAGGTGGATTTCTCACATACTCACGCATGCCCTGGGGACTCAAATACTACTGCTTTATCAAAATGAAAGGAGGTACAGAGCAACAAAGGCTTGTGGGTCAAGATCAGAACATCCAGGCAATATTTCTGTTCCTCAGTTTTGTCCATTCCTCCCATTGAACCCTATTCTTATTACTATCGCTCTGTGTGGTGCTTCCCTCCCTCTCACTTCTTCCCACAGCAATCATTTCCCTCTGGAGTCCTGAGACTGCAGTCAGTGCAAGAGGGCACAGTCCTTACTTGTTCATCCTGCTTCAACAGGCTGGCACCAGCTGACCAGGTGGCAAGAGGCTCCTTCCCTGACCAGTGCTGGCGCAGAAGCTGTAACTCGCTGCTCCTTTCAGCCAAAGCACGTGCCATCTTCTCAGCAGCTGCCTGAATGAGCAGGAGGGAAACAGAAAGGCAGGGCTGTGACCAAGGAAGGGCTGGATCCCTGTCCCTCACCTTCCTTAGAGACTAAGGGAAGCATATTAATAGTCATCTGTCACTCGGGACTAGGAGAAAGGCTCTACAAATTGGTCTGGGAGCTCCTGGCCCTTCACTGTGGCCCTCCCATCGCTGCTTGGGAGGCAGCTGCAGTGGGGCTCAGCCTCTGCCTACACAAAAAGCTCCTCAGCTTTCCTCACTCCACCCAGAAAGGGATGGAGACTTGGGAGAGGCAAAGAACAAAGAGGAGGAGATAGAACTTGGTCTTTTAGCCCCCTTTTTATGAAAGGGGACTCAATTGAAAGCAGGTCAGGTGACACTGAGGTGCATTCAATGTATTAGAGTAGGCAGAGTAGAAACTAGGGCTCTTCAAGGAGCAGCTGCTCCCAGGACCGTGCACGAGTTTGATTAAAATGTAAGTTAACGGGCAATGGGCAGAATTTCCTCATTCTTCTGAGCTGCACAACTGACAGCTTGGAGGCCTCCCTTCTGGTCTGCTAACACTCAGACGAAGCAGTGACTCTTCCCTGAGCTCCTCCACCCTGCACTGTCCCCAACTCACTCTGCTCCACTGCTCCTTGGCGCCCACAGCCTGCAGCAGCTCCCGGATCTCAGCATCATGCTCCATAACCTGACGGTTCCTGTCAGCAAGGAGATCCTGCAGCATCTTCTCCTTGCGCTGGAGACGGAGGCACAGCTCCTCCACCACCTCGCTCTGCCCCGGGCCCAGCTTGCACAGCAGGGTGGCTGTGAGCTCCTGAAGAAAGGAGAGAAATGCAGAGATGTGGCTACTGCTCCCACCAAGCTGCAAGCTGTGCAGGGCAGAACAGCTCTTCAGCCCGAGCATGGCTGTAGGAGTGACACCTCAGAAGCCCAGGTCTCTACAGGCATTGAGAGCAGCCCGTTTAGGGCAGGGAAGTTTAAGTGCTCTCCTCAGAGGCAGGCAGCAAGCTCTAGGCACTGCTCTCTGCAGACAAACTGACCGAAAGCCCAGGAGGCCAAGTGACAGCCTTACCTCCACTTCCTTGTTCCTATCGTGCAGGCAGGTTTGCAGCTGCTGGATGATCCCCTCCTGCTCCTTCTGCCTCTTGCAGGATTTCTCCTCAGTCTCCTCCTTGAGCCAGCGGAGGTTTTGGCAGGTTGCTGACACCTGCTCTAGCTCCAGGGTTTTGGCTTTCAAGAGGCTCTCCAGGCTCTGGGGACCACAAGAGAAGTGGATCAACCAGCGAAAGGGCCTTTCCTCCTAAATAAGCAGACCTGGTACCACCAGTAGCGAGTCATTCCGATTGATCCCCTCCCCTCTCCAGACACTACACCCAGCTACGCACCCAGCCCAGGAACAACACAGACTGACCCAGGAACCTGCCTAGCACATGGGGCCAACACCCTGCACCCACACACCCCTAGGACAACCGCAGTGCTTGCTCGAGAGCTCCTCTAGCCCTGGGCTTGTCCACTAGAGCCACAGTGCGCTCTGAGGGTGCAGGTCCCAGCACTCACGTGGATGGTGGCCTCGCTGCCGGACACAACGCTCCGCAGCCGCTCCAGGTCATCACCGCGCGCTCTGGCCGAGACACGGAGCTGCTGCAGCTCTTGCTCCTTCTTCTCCAGAGCACAGTACTTTTCATCTACTGCTCGCTATGGTGAGAGAGGGCAAGCACTCAAAATTGGACAGAATACTTGTAAAATACACAACTTGCCACAGCAGGCACTTCAGCTCTCCCTTACGGAGGGCTCCTTTGCAGATGGGGACAAAAAGAGCATTCTGAAGACATTGCCACCCTGGGGTCAGCTTTGGCAAACAGCGTGGGCTGCACCTCTAATGCTAACCCAAAGGCTGAGCTGCAGGGAAGCTTCCCTGACAGACTGAGCTCACCTCCAGAGCAGCATCCCTGTCACGGACTCGCTGCTGCAGTTTCTCCAGCATGGCATCCATGGCTGCAGGGCTCTTGTTCAGGTTTTTCTGGCATTGCAGAAGTTCCCTTGATTCCTAAAGGGATAATACACACGCCTTCCAGTAAAACTCTGTCAGAACATGCCCAGGAAGCATTTCAGGAGAGTCTGGGCCAACTACCTACACTTGCCAGTTCTACCACCCACCACTAAAGGGCAGCACCTGGAAGCTGACTGACCAGGCAGCTGTGAGAGCTCCCCAGGCACCACCTGTGCCTCCTTCCTCCTCTTGGAGGCCAGAAGCAGCTCTGGCCAGCCCTTCTGAGGGGCATCTGTGAGAACTAAACTGACACTTGCACTTGGTTCCAAACACTTGGTTCCAAACACCAATGGAAGGGGAGGAGCCCTGGCTGCTTATGCTCTCCTCCAGTCTTTCTGCATCTCACCTGCAGAAGTTGTTCTTTGCGAGCCAGGTGCTGATTCAAACGCTGAACCTTCTGTTCCTGGGCCTGCAGCTCGCAGCATTTTTCCCACTCTGCAGCCTGGAGCTGCTGAGCCTTGTCCTGCAGTTCTGCCTGCAGCTGCTGCACCACAGCACGCAGCTCCTGCAAGAGAAAGCCCTTGTCTTGTTTGCAGTCCTCAAGGGACCTGCACACAACAGGACAGACAGAAGGAGGTGAGAGGAGCAAGGGCTGTGGAACAGCCAGAAATGCTCTGTGTTACTAGACACAGCTTTCACATTGCTAAATACAGTTCCTTGCTAATGAAGTTTGAATTTATTTCCCTTTCCAAGGCACCCATCCATTTTGAAATTCCTCGCTGTGGCCACAGGTAGAGCTTTACTGTCTACCACAGCCTGCCTGCTGCAGCAGGGAACACAGCTTTGCAACGCTACAAGAAGACCTAGGACACCCACAGCAAGCAAAGGCATAGGAACGACAATGGACACACTATCACATATCTTTGCTCATTCCAAGTCCTACAGCAGGAAGCTAAGGAGACTGCAGAAAGCTCCCAAAGTGTCAGCTAAGGGCAACCAAGAGTCTAAGCAGAGATAAATGAGGGCAGAATATGGCCTACAACAGTGCTTTAACCCTTGTGACAGCACCAACTACCAGGCAAGGTGCCTGTCATACCTGGTTGTGTTTCCAAGTTGCCTCTTTTTGCTGCTCTTCCTCGTGCACTGTCGTTTCTAGGAGCTGGGTCACCCTCCTGGCCTCAGCCAACTGATGCTCTTTCTGACGCTGAACCGTTTTCAACTTCTGCACTTCCAGCTGGGTGCAGAAAAGTGTGTTCTGAAGATCCAGTAGCGCCAGGTTTTGCTGCTGGGGTGAGGCTGCACCCTCTGGCACCTGATGGGAGCGAAGCAAAGAAACTCAAGGTTCCCTTCCCTCAAGAGGTCTGAAGCTCCTGAGCCCTGAAGAACAACTGATGTACTCGAGGCTTCTGGGGACATACCTGCAACTGTCCAAGCTGGCTCCTGTGCAACATGTCTCGCAGCTTGGCCATCGTCTCGTTCTGCCCCTCAATGACATGGTACAGCTCTTCTGTCTACAAGGCAAAGGAGAGGACACCCAGGCATTGGCAAGCCAAGCACAAACCCTCCCTGTCCCAAGCCTCCCAGTGTGTATTAGGTCATGTCAGACTCACAAAGGAGCAAAAGCTTCTCCAGAAACAATTTTGTGAGATCCAGAATGTCACGCAGTGGCTTTTGAGTCACTGCCTACAAGGACCAGCATATTTTCCTCTGCTGGGCCCACCACCCCTCTGCCCACTGCTATTACCTCGCTCTCCTTGCTCTTCAGGGTCTCATTCAGACTCTGGATTGTACGGTCTTGTCTCTGCGATGTTTCTTGGACAGACTTCAATTCAAAGTTCAATTCATTCAGTTTTTCCTGCAGCAACTGAATGCAAAAAACAGGAAGTTTGTCTACCCTACCTACTGCTCTGTCTAAGCATACTTTGGACTCCCTCCAGCCCTTACTCAGTCCATACAGCCCAGATGTCCACCCAGTCAAGATCAATGCAGTTCCCCCTGGAGCCTAGATGTGCTGTTGGAGCTGTGTGGAAACCACTATGAAGAAACACAAACCCTTCCCTTTCCCCAGGAATTTTTCAGTGTTCCTAGTTGCTCCAATACAGCCCCAAGGTTCAGGGCAGAGTTTCCAGGCTTAGCTTTCATATATTGCACTATTGCCCACAAACTCTAGAAGAATCCTGCTCCAACTGCCCACCACCCTTCCCCATTTTTATTACTAAACAAACAATCCCCCAACAACAAACAATTTTCTAAACAAAAATGTTCCTTTAAGTAGGAGGAACTGCTTCAGTCCCCCAAACTCCAAAGAGATATGAACAAAAAATGTCACCCTTTGCTTTTAAAGCCTCCCAGTGCAACGCAGCTACGTGCCTACAATCTCCCAATCCCCCTCTCACCACCTCCTTACCCCACCCAAGCATTTTTGTGGCAACTGCTGGTCTAGGTAACACCACATTTGCTCACAGCAGTGGTTCATCCAGCCTCAAGCTCTCGCTGCAGCATGAAGGAGCCTCCTTTGTGCCAACTTTGCAGCAGCACAGCTGCAGGGCAAAGCGGAATTTCTTGCTTCACTCACTCTGTGGTTGATTTTAAAGCAACTGCCTTAGACACGTTCATCCTAAAGACAGCAACGTAGCTCAAGCAGTTTCAGGACAGTTATCTTCTTTCGCCAAGATATACATGATAGTGCATTAAACCAAGAGCTCGTCAACATGTTAAACATGCTGCTTTTGGACAGTCTTAGAAGATACCCATCTTTCCGGGAACTGATTCCAGGCTTAATTTCCCGAGGAGCTGGTACTGACACATGATCTCCTCTGTGTTGCTTATTGGCTTACAAATCTGTCGTGTTCTGTCTTCTGAGAGGCGTTTCCCCCACACACACATACACAGAGATTTAAACACTCCCAATTGCATTCACTCTGATTTCCTTGTCAACCTCTGTGGACCAGGCAGCTCCAACAGCTTACAGCTGTCCTTGAATTTAAATAAAGGACCTAAGCAGCGATGCTCTTCCTTTTATCCCGTTTTCCCCTTGAGGATAGTTACCTTAGAGCTCAAGAGCGTAGCTAAGAACATCTATCCCTTGCAACATGTGCTAAATTTGAGCTGCCACACGACTACATGGCTTTCTTAGGAAAGCAGCTCATAGCCTTTAAATCCCAGGCAAAACAGGACTGCCCCCAACCCCAGGCTGATCTCCCTGCTTTCAAAAAAGCAGCCAGTTGTCTCAAACACAGCTGCTCCTCTCCCCTGCACCACGCTCAAAGCAGGCAAATACACAAGGCAGGAAAACAGGCTCTGGGCACCTCTCCTTCATTCACTCCCAGCGGGCTTACAAGGCAACCAGGAAGTCTCCCCTAAAGCTAATTTGCAAAAATAAAACGTGGAGAGCTTACACAGCACAGCTGCAGGAGAGAAAGAACAGGCAAGTGCCTTTAACTGAAGCTGAGAGCTTGCAGCACCAGGAACACGGCATGGGTGCAAGTGCCCTTGCTGGAGCAGAGGAGGGGCTGCCTGCCAGGCTGCACGGCGGGAGGACAGGGCAGCTCCCCCTCGCTCTGTCAGCCTTGCTAGGCACCAGACGTGCTGCTCACGGCCACATACCTTGTTGGTGGCATCAAGCTGCTGGACTTTGCCCTGCAGCTCCGCAGCGTGCGCACCAGGGAGACGCTCTGCGGCTGCGGGCTCGCCTGCAGCTGGCTGCTCGTGGTCATCTGGGCGATTCTAGAAAGGAGGAGAAACGGTTCAAGTCTTGCACATGTCTCTACTTAGTTATCAATCCCATTACAGCTCAGGCTTAAACAACCCCAATGTTTTTTTTCCAACTGCCTCGTGAATACCCTGCTGCCCGTGCCTCCTCCACCCGGGTGCAGGTCAATGCCTGGCCCTGCAGCTCCCCTGGCTCTCACTGCTGTCTCCAGGCTGATGGCAGATCTGCTCCCCACACCCAAGCCATGTCCTGAATCCTGCCTCCTATGGGCCCTGCTGGCAGCTTCAGTCAAATTAAACTGTTTTTCTTCCCATATTCTGCCAAACTTATCCCTCTCCATCAATAACCTTCCATCTCTCCCAGCAGCTATCAGCCTGAGTGACAAAGCCACCCCTGTTCTAAATTCCTTCGCTTGCGGATCTCTGGGCTCTCCGTGCTCCAGCAGCCCTGCTTTGTGCAATCTCCTTCAGCTCCATAAATCAAATTCAATGCCACAGCTGGGACTTTAGGCACAGACGATATCTATGCAGTGGGAAGGGAAGAGCCCAGTGCCTCCTGATGCGGGGCCTGCCAGACCCAGCTGCTTGAGCACACACTAAGGCCCTGCGAGCCCTTCCTGCTGTTGGGCTGCCAGCAGCCTCCCCGCAGCAGCAATCAAGCCCTGCCACCCACCCTGGCCCTCCCAGGATCCATTAAGCATTCCCGAGTAGCTCCAGTGACACAAGATCGATCTAGGTCTAGGACAAGCTGAAAGGAAATGATCCTGATATTTTTTTCTTTCATTCGGAGGGAAATTATCCCGTTTATTTTTTTCTTTCTTTCCTTTTTTAAGCTTTTGGTGACAGCCTGACTGGTGGCTGGAAGCAGGTTCAACTTTGCCCAGCCAGAAGGCTTCGGATCAGGCAGGGAGAGTTGCTGGAATTTCACGCACAAGAACCATTTTGCAAGTAAGGGTGCTGAAAACAGAGGGAAAAGAAGTCTTTTCTTGCAGCACGCATAGCCCAAAGAAAAATAAGTAAGAATCCTGTAAACAGCAAAGAGACAGGAGGAAAAGGGCAGAGGCAGCTCCAGGGTCCAAAGTCCCTAAGCCCAAGCTGTCTCCTTCGTGCCTCACAGCAGTCACGGCTCCCCAGAGGTTTCCCTATGTCAACATTTGCTCAAAAACCTCGCTCCTCACTGCCCTCTTCTCAGCACAGCTCCAACAATGCCAGCACTCACTAGCTTAGACTGAGAATCACGTAAAAAAAACCCTTACACAAGAGCCCTTCAGTTCACTAGCAGCACAAACCTTTCCCCTTCTGCTGCTAAAACCACCCAGACACTCCAGAGCCCCAGCACTGCGGTCAGCAGTTGCAGCTGGGTTGTTGCCAGGGCAAGAACCGGGAAATGAGGAATTTGGCAGGACAAATTCCCTGCAAGGACTGTTGTATAGCAGCGGATGGGGGAAAAGAAATCCCTCGTGGCAATTCCGAGATACAAGGACAGCAAGGCACGACACAAAGCCGAGCTGCTCACGCGTCACACCGATTGCTCCATGTGCCGGTAAAGGAAAGCCTGTTTTTCTGCTGAAAACGCTTCCCTAGGAGTGAAAAAGAGCAGCAACTGGCAGAATGCAGCAGCAGAATCCACACCCTGCTCCACATCTTCAATCACAGGCCAGAAATGCAACGCCGTAGTGTCCCCCATGAAAGCTGGTGGTAGAGGTTTATCTCCCTCCAGAGCATTATTTCTCAAGCAGATTAACGTGAGAGGAGCAGAGAGCTCTGGAAAACACCCGAGCAGATGGCAGAGTGAGCTGCCCTCGCTGAACAGGCGGCACAGCTCGCTACAGCTACAGTTACCATAGCAAAAACAAGCATTTTTCTACTCCCTGAGGCTACCTAGAGTATTAGGCAGCACTAAGGCTGCTAATGCGAATGCAATTAGGCTGACGCGGATATTCCTGAATTAAAGCTGACTGAGGCCTTCTATTCATTAAGGGAAGTGATAAGGGAGTTACGAGTTCAGCTTTTTGTCTGCATAGGAGCAGAGCAGAGACAAGCCAGCTCTATGAGCGGGCTAAAACCTCAACAGCCCTTGGCACTCTGCAAAAGCAAGAGAGCTCAGGGCTCTCAGCAATAATTGCATTAACGAATCTTCTCACAGAATTAGAAAAGAAGAGCACCTATCTGGAACGCCAACTCTAGAGCTTCACACTGGCACAAATCCACCTGCAAGGAAAACGCCCTCTCCTTAGGGCACGTGCTCCAGCTCACGGCACGGATCTGGTTTGGGGACTCACCAGTAAGGCAGGGCTCTCAACACACAGCAGCCTGACCCAGAGCCATTACCAAGGCTCAAAGGAAAAACACTGGCCAAAAAACACATGCCCAGAAGCTTAAAGCACTCCCTTTAGCTGGGGGGAAAATTCAGACAGTCTGTTTAAAGAGAAAGATGGAGTGAAACCGGCAATTTCTCGGCAGAGAGCACGCTAAGATCTCAGGCCTGGCTAGTGCCTGGCACAGATCTCAGGCCTGGCTAGTGCCCTACGTTCACAGGGAGAGACGCCCGAGGGCGATTTCCCAGAACAGGGCAGGGAAACAGATCACAGGAGAGGGACCGTGCCTAAAAAGGAGGGAGCTGCCTATTCTTAGCCCGTGGTTCAGCGACACGTGGCTCTCGGCATTATCTCAACTCGGAGGAATTCCCACTGGCCTCGGGGCCGAGCCGCAGCGGCGCTGCTCGACCAAGAGGCTACACCGTGACCTCTACCTGTACCCGGAGCGGCACGTAATCCTCACAGAGGTCGTCCCACAGCTCCTGCAAGTCAGCAATCTCCAAGGGAAGACCCAAGTGAGCTCTGGAAAGGGATTTCCTGTCTGCACTGAGGAAACCAGAGCCAGCATCCATCAAGCCAGCAGAAGCACTTCCATCCGCCGAGTCGCAGCTCAGCCTCGGAGGCGGCAAGGCGGATTTCACAGGGATAGGCAGCTTGCTGCCCTTGGGGCTCCGAACAGGTTTGTAGTCCAAGGCCTTGATCATGCTAAGGGCCAGCTCCAGCCTATTCCCGCTCAGCGAGGAGCTCGGCGTCAGGCGGTCGTCCGAGAAGTCGTCGCCCTTCCCGCTCCCCTTGGCGCCCTTCTCCGCCTCGTCGTCCCTGTGCTGCGGAGGGCTCGCCTCCACCGTGGTGTCCAGCGACTCCATGGAGGACGCGGGCGTTCCCTCCTCCATGCTCTCCCCGTCCAGCGGCGCCCGGGCGCCGGCCAGCTCCGCGGCGTCGCCCACGGACGCCTCCTCGTTGCCCGCGCTCGCCGACCACCGCCCGGACGGCCCGCACGAGATGCTCCGGGCCACCTTGCGCGGCACCCTG